CATAAATTTGAAAAATGTGATCTGAAGGCTCTAAAGGTCCTTTGTAGATGCTATGGAAGAACAATTATTCTCTGCCAGCCTGGATCCCGAGAAGCAGACAGAAGATGGCATTTGGGGCTGGGGTGCTGCTCAGAGATGGTTCACTTGCCTAGCGTGTGCAAGACCCCGGTCCACGCCCAAGACAGAGGGGAGAAGATGTGCATCTGACAGGGACAGGGAGCAAGCGGCAGGAAGGGGGAGGGCTTCAGAAGTCCCACAGGTCTGGCCCTGGGAAGGGGAGACACAGGCTGCAGTGAGCACCCTACAGTGACAGCTCAGTGCAGGGCAGGGCTGCAGGCCGGGCCTCAGCCAGGTGCCTGACAGGGAGGAGGTGTGCGTGGGCCCACTCCAGTCACTCGTTTGGAGACACTATTCACCGGTGAGGTGCTCCGAAGATGACTTGTTTTCATCTGTAATACTCATTTACATTTTTTTTTTTTTTTGAGACAGGGTCTTGCTGCATAATTCAGGCTGTTCTTGAACTCAATATATAGCCCAGGCTGGTCTCAAACTTACAGCGATCCTCTTGTCTCAGCTGCCCAAGTTCTGGGGTTACAAGCATGCACCACCATGCCTGGCTACTTTTAAATATATTTGTTCAAAATTTAGTCTATATTGTAAGTGAAACCATAGGATTTTGGGGTTTCTCTTTGCTTATTTGTTTGTTTGCTTTGAGGCAAGATCTCACTATGTAGCTCAGGCTGGCCTTGAACTCATTATGTAGTCCAGGCTGGCCTCGAACTCACATCAACTCTCCTGCCTCAGCCTCCCTGGTGCTGGGACTACAGGCATACACAATCATGCCTGGCAGCTTTCCATATTCTTTTTATTTATTTATTTATTTTTTTTTTTGGTTTTTTGAGACAGGGTCTCACTGTATAGTTGAGACTGACCTGGAACTCGCTATGTAGCCCAGGCTGGTCTTGAACTCACAGCGATCCTCCTGCCTCACCCTCCCGAGTGCTGGGATTACTGACATGTGCCACCGTGACCGGCAGCTTTCTTTATTCTTCTAATGATCTTTTTCATGAGAAAAAATTGATATCTAAAAAAGAAAACAGGAGTAAAAAGTTCTTCTTTAAATGATTTAAATTTGTATGATAGGGCCGGGAATTTAGCTCAGTGGTGCCACCACCTGCCTTGCCGGAGCAAGGACCGGAGCTCGAACAAAAAAACAGTACAAAAAAAAAAAAAAAAAGTTGCTCTTCACTTGGGCCTAGAGATGTCCGCCCAGTAGGTAACTAAAAGTAGAACAAAGCTTGATCTTCATTTATCACCTTAAAATTTGGGATCAGACTTGGCTCAGTTTTGCATGGAGACATCATAATCGTTTTGCGAATATCTGCCTAAAAGTTGGCCAAACAGGGTTGATTCGCCGTAAATTTACATCACCTATCTCATTCTCCTTCAAAGCTGAGGCCACCCGGACAAAAGACTGTCTCAGTCTCTTTCTCACTGGTGAGACACAGCGCCTGACACCCACAGTTTCAAAGAGGGAAGCTTCTTTTGGCTCATGTTTCGGTCCATAGTTGGCCAGCTCAAGACGAGGCAGCACGGGAGAGGGGCCTGGCGGAGGAGAGGCGGTTCAGGTCCTGGCAGCCAGGATGCGGAGAGCGAAGAGAGGCGCTGGGCAGTGCTCACACCCTAGCAGGCCACCTCCCCACGACCGGCCTCTCCTGCGCAGGCCCCACCTCGCAGCACCGGGCCAGCTCACCACGACCCAGTCATCTCCCACCAGCCCTGCCTCTGAATGCATGAGGTTTTGGGGGGCGTCCAGACATAAACCAGGACAGAAGGGCCGGGGGTGTAGCTCGGTGGTTCCGCTGCCTGCCTCGCAAGCGCAAGGACCCGAGTTCGATCCCTGGTATCAGAAAAAAAAAAAATGGAAGCAAAGCTTTTGTAAATAAGAAGAGGAAGAAGGGTTGAAGGAAGAGTTAAGGAATAGGGAAAAAAAGAAGCAAAATACATCACGTACAGGTACAAATTTCCTATGATGAATGTGATCATTATATATATCTAAAATGTACCAATAAAAAATTAGAAATAAAAGAAAAATGACTAATACAAGGGGCTAGTAATCTTTGAGTTTATAACTCTTTGTTTTTTATTAACTTACTTATTTTTGGGTACCCGGGATTGACCTCGGATTCTTGCGCTTGCAAGGCAGGCACCAGAACCACTGAGCTAAATCCCGGGCCCATGTCCTGGCCTGTTAACAGCACTCATTTGTGAACTCATCAGTGAGCACAACCCATGACCTAGTCAGCTTCTACACATGGGGGGTTGGGGGGACATCTCAGATTTGAAAACAAACTCTCAAAATATTAATTTTTTTTTTTTCTTTTTGGTACCGGGGATTGAACTCTGGTCCTTCTGCTTGCAGAGGCAAGCGGCAGAACCATTGAGCTAAATCTCCGGCCCTAAAAATTTATTTTTTATTTTTTTATGCTTTGCATTCTTTAAATAGGCTGAATTTCCTTAATTTCTAAAAACAAGCAAGCAAACCCAAAACCCAAAGAACTATGCCAACCTCACTTTTTTATTTTTATTTTTTTGGTACCGGGGATTGAACTTGGGTCCTCATGCTTGCGAGGCAGGTGGTGGAACCACTGAGCTAAATCCCCAGACCCCAACCTAGCTTTTATACACACCGGGATGGACATCATCCCAATATAGTAGAAAAGACAATCCCAGAAATAGTTATTCATATTCTGCTCTTTTTTTTTTCTTTTTCTTTTTGAGACAGGGTCTCACTATGTAGTTGAAATTGACCTGGAACTCACTATGTAGCCCAGGCTGCTCTCAAACTCACGGAGATCCTCCTGCCTCAGCCTCCTGAGTGTTGGGATTACAGGCCTGTGCCACTACACCCAGCCTTCATATTCTAAGTTACTAAGGGCAATTTGGAAAGATAAGCATGGAATGTCCATTGTGATATTACATTATTACTAAGTGATTTCTGTAATCTCTGCTTATTTATTTTAATTTAATTCCTTAATTAAATTAGAGAAAGGGTCTCACTGCATAGTTCAGGGTGGCCTTGAACTCACTATGTAGCCCAGGCTGGCTTGAAACTCACAGCAGCCCTCTTACCTCAGCCTCCTCAGTGTTGGGATAACAGCTATGCACCACTATACCCAGCTCCACTATTTATTTCCTGAGAATTTGTGTGTGTGTGTGTGTGTGTGTGTGTGTGTGTGTGTGTGTGTGGTACCGGGGATTGAACTCAGGTCCTTGTGCTTGCGAGGAAGGCAGTGGAAGCGCTGAGCTAAATCCCCGGCCCTCTCCTGAGAATGTGAACTGAAGCACGTTTGCGAGCTCCACGTTACCCTGTAAGGTAACGCTCATTCTCAGGTTTGGGGGATTTAGGCATGGCCATCTTCGGGGTGGGCTATCGTAATATCCTTTTATTCTATTACTCATTTCTAAAACATCAATAGGATGGATTCAGAAAAAAAATAGCACATACAATTTGTGATTTCACTACTGAAAGATAAACATGAAGAACATGTCCTTCTAACTTTAAAAACAAAGTTTTTATATAGTTATAAATCACTTTACATATTAAAATTTTTATCTTAATTCTTTTCTTTTTTTTAGTTTTTTTTTTATTTTATTGAGTTTATTGGTACATTTTAGGGATACAGTACAGTTACATTCATTGTTGGGATCTTGTACCTCTACATGGCAAGTCTTGATTCTCATTTTTTCCCCTTACCTCTGCCCTCCCTTCACCTCCTCCTCCCCTCCCCATCTACAAACACTTTATTTTCATCTTTTCATTCTCTCACATTTTTTTCTTTTCCCTTTTTGTCCTTCCCCTACGCATCACACCTTCCCTACACCTTTAGCTCCTTTCTTCAAATTTCTAAATGTCAGTAATCTTATTAGAATCTTATGCATTGTTGCACAATATTCACACCAGGGAAACTATTTGGTATTTACACATGTGTGACTTATTTATTTCACTTAGGAGTATATCTTCAATATGTATCCATTTTCCTATGAATTTGAGACAGGGTCTCACTATGAACTCACTATGTAACCCAGGCTGGTCTCGAACTCACAGCGATCCTCCTGTCTCAGCCTCTTGAGTGCTGGGATTACAAGCGTGCGCCACCACGCCTGGCTCACATAGCCTAGCATGTCTTTTTTTTTTTTTTTTTTTTTTTGGTACCGGGGATCGAACTTGGGTCCTTGAGTTTGCGAGGCAGGCGCGGAACCACTAAGCTAACTCCCAGCCCTTTTCAGTTTTAAGTGACCCTCAGCCAGATGTCAGCGTGCGTGCCAGTCACCCCAACACTCTGGATGTCCGAGGCAGAAGGATCACAAGTTTCAAGCCCAGCCTGGACACACTAGCGACTTAGGGAGGCCCTATCTAAAAATGTAAAAAGGGCTGCGGCTGTCGTTCAGGGAAAAGGTCTTGAGTTCAAACCCCCGCTGAGGGGGTGTGGACCGCGCCCAGGCCCCAGGTGTCTCGGAGATAGGTTCGCAGGATTCCGCAGACAAGGGCAGCTCCACACTGGCAGCGCGCGGCGAGGAGCTCGCGCACAGCCGCCCGCCGCCACCTCGCCAGA